TCGGGTGTTGACTGCCGTTCGTCCCGCTGCTGGGGTTGACAGCTGCGAGGTAGGTTTCGACAACGACCCTCCTCCCAACCCCGCCTGCAACGTAGGTACCACTGAGATGGCGTGTCACCTGGTCGGGCGGAGAAATTTTGACACCGACAGATGTGAGCGCACTCCCAACTACAGTAAACGGTCTACCTCATGAAATGTCAGCCGAAATTCTGAAATTTGCTTTTTTATTTGGACATATTAATTAAGTATGGTTGAAAGGCTGAGTAGCATGCGACTTAATCTCAATTTATTTCGGTCACTTCAAGAGGCCGGTTTTTGAACAAGCTTCCTTTTGACCAACAGCATGAGGTATATTCTGCAAAAAAACGGCTACTTAATTAATGTTTTCTTCTCATTAATTTTCACTGGCATACTAAATTGATATATATATTTTATGGGATAAAAGTGCTCAAAAATAGCTTTTATGTACTAATTTGGTAACAGACTATGCTTTCTTCAAATTTTACACTTGAAAAAAGGGTATCTTTTGGTTTTAAGAAAGTTCCGAATTGCTGAAAAATTTTGAACGCAATTGCCGTCGCACTTGATTTCAAGTTCTCCAAAGTACATGCTGTATACGTTCTGTTTGATGATAAGTAAATATTTCCCTACAGTGTGAGGAAGAAGACATATAGCTCTCAGAATAATTTTCTATAGATATTGACCAGGTTGCATAATTTATAAGCAGCATTTGCAAATGGACAGATACGTTGTTATATGAATACACGTTTCATGGTCGTGAAAGCTCTCATGGTTAAATTTTTTAAACCGAAGGATACTCCCCCCTCTTCAAGCATAAAACTTTAAGAAAACGAAGTTTGCTACCAGAGATGCAAAAGATAGAATGTTTTTTTGTATTTTTTCTATAACCTATAGTTTAATTTATTAGGGCACCAAAAATCAACGAGAAAAAATGCATAATATTTAAGTAGCCATTGTTTACAGAATATACTTCTTGCTGATGATCAAAAGGAAGCCGAAATCCTGAGGTGACTGAAATATGTTGAGATTAATGGATAGGGGAGAAAATTTATTGAGTACCCGAGCAATTAGTTTACTGTCTTTAGCTTTCAAACTCTTAGACGAGTCCATTTTCAGAGATAAGAACCAGAAACCAAGAAAAAAGGGGGAAGGGGTTAATTATAGTGGGCATACGTCAATCAACTGTCAAAGGTCACCAGATCCTGAAGATGTACTCCGGTGCTCGACAAGTCTCCTGCCTTATCCATGCAAATACCTGGAACGCAGACGTTTTCATTCATTCACGTTGAGCTTAAGTCGCACGCTAGTCAGCATTACAACTATGCTTAGTTAATAAGTTAGAATCGAAAGAATGTTTCGGAATTTCGGCTGCAGTTTCATGAGGTAGATTATTTACGGTATTAAGAAGAGAAAGGCTGCCTTTTGGAAGGCTGAAACATTAATGTGTAAAGTTTCGAGACAGGTTCCCCCGCTCGTCTTCAGGCCTGAGAAAATATGCCATAAATAATTAAAATGTAAACTTAGTTAACCCAATTCGGTAAAAACTCGTGGCATTCGGCGGGATTCGAACCCGCATAGGAGGGAAGCTTTTTACGCAAGCCAACGCTCTACCTACATGAGCAACGAATGTCGCACTTCACACCGTGAGTTTAATCACACATGGATCGATATTACCCGCCCAACTTTGCCGT